CATGCTATAAGTCACACCATCAGCCTGAAAACCCTCCTCCTTAGCCAGAATCCTCAGCTTGTTTGCATCAGAAGTCCGCCAGCTTCACAAAGTGCCTCGAAGATACAGTTACAAGATATGGTATCTGGTACAATCCCCTCCCCAACCATCCTTCCCATCAATCGGCACACATCATCCAGCTTCCCCGCCTTCATCAAGCAATCCAGAACTGTTATGCCAGCAGGGACACTTAAGCAGCATACCCCGTTCCTCTCCAATACCATCTCCACTATTTCCACTGCTTTGTCCACCCTTCCAACATGGCATAGGGATTCAACCAGATCCAAGCAATCAAACCCTTCCGGCACCACCGCATCCACCAAAAACTCTGCAAACACCTCTGATGCCTTCAAAGCGTCGCCTCCACCGCACAACCCACCTATCAAAATCTCCATGGAAGCAACCGACAGCCCGGCTCCAAGCTGCAGCATCTCGTGAGCAACCTTAAGGCCTTCCTTGTACCTTCCTTCTCTGAAGAACCCGCGCATAAGAGTATTGAAGCTCACACCAGTCGGCGCACAGCTCCGGCGCTGCATCTCCTCGAACCACCGCATGGCGGCATCGACGCCTTCGACACGGCAGGAGCTGTTGATGAGTATGTTGAAGGTGTAGGCATCAGGGGAGAGGCGGTGGACGTTGGTCATCTCGCCGTAGAAGCGGATGGCGTCGTCGTGGCGGTGGAGACGGGCCAGGGCGTGGAGGATGATGTTGTAAAACTCGGCGGGGAGGGGCGAGTCCGCGGCGCGGCGGAGGGACGCGAGGGCTTCGGACGCCGCGGGGATGTCGCCGGAGGAGGCGAAGGCGAGGATGGCCTTGCGGAAGGTGGGGAGGAGGTCGGGGCAGGCGAAGATGGAGTCGTCGGCGCAGGGGCAGGGCCGGGAGAGGACGAGCTGGAGGAGGCGCCGCAGCGAGGGGAGGCGGCGGGAGGCCGCGAGGCGCGCGGCGAGGAGGCTGGTGAGGCGGTGGTCGGGGCGGAAGGCCGAGGAGGCGTCGGCGGCCGCGAGGAGGAGGTGGAGGTCGAGCGGCGCGAGGCGCGGGTGGTGCCGCGCGCGGCGCAGGAGGCGGAGGAGCGCCGCGGGGGAGGAGGCGTGCGCGGCGGGGAGAGCCGGGAGGGGGCTCGGCGGCGAGAGGTGGGAGACGGCGAGCGGGAGGAGCGGCAGGGAGGGGTCGAGGGGGATGGAGGCGGGCGAGGTGGAGATTTCGGGGGTCTCCTCTAGGATTTCGATCTCCGGCGAGATGAGGCGCTGGTGTTTGGAGATGATGGAGGGGAGCTTCCGCGCCAGGCGGCGGGAGGCGGCCATCGCCGGCTGCGGAAGAGAAGGGGGAGGGAATCTGAGGAGTGCGTGGCCGGGTCATGGGCTTAGCCCACAGGCAGAAATGGATATGTTTTCGACGAGTGCATGGGGCCTGGGCTACATGACAATCCACTGGCGAAGCCCAGATTACAGTACGAATACTATTCAACTTCAAATTTTCCCTCTGAAAAATACATTTTCACTTCAAAACTTCCACTGTGTACTGTCAAAAAAAATCCATTACTTAAAAAAAGGTCTCCTAAGAAAATTCCAGGTTTATTTACATTTATTATATTTGTACTTTGCATGCTCTCGCATTTCACAAAGACCATCCTAAATTTCAAGGTGGGACCCGGAAGAAGGACTTCACAAAATTGGAACCTTCCATGGAAAAACACTAATGAGAACATTGTAGACTTGTTTGAGTGTAAATTTTCAACCCTTTCATGCCCCGAGAACCATCGCGACACCGAGAACCGAGAGTCTATGATAACTATAGAAGGGTTGGGCATGGTTCCCTATGTTGTTGGTGTTATTGTGATTTCATAAAAGAAAACAGATTGATTTGGCGTGTGGGTAATATGATGAAGTGTGTAGGTGTTTGATGGGCTTTCGGTGTGATTATGTGTTATCTGCTAGTCAACACATGCTTAGGTGGGGAAGTTTTCTTGCGCTAGTGACTGCATGTACTATATTGTGCTATAATGTCACATGTTGACGCCTTTTTATATGGTGAGAGGGTGCGCGGGACTAATGTGTTTTACATCTTGGTTGAGAAATCTCTGACCCATTCAAAACTGTGATCAAATTCAAAATTTAATAACTCAATTGAATGAGAGAGTTCTTTGAGAAATCTTTGACCCAGTCAAAATTGTGAGCCAAATCTGAAGTTGAACACCTCGATTGAATAGAAGGATTCCAAAAGTAGGGAGCATAGTGAATTACAAGACTGACAGACCCAACTAACATTATACCTAATCGACACTAAATTCAGAGAAAGAAAACTTGAGCAAGGGGAAGGACTAGGGATTAATCGTTCTTAGGGGTAAATGCTTAGGCACAACCATGCACTAGTAGAAAACGGAGCTTTAAAACCGGTTTGTAAGGGCCTTTAGTGCCGGTTATGGAACCGGCACTAAAGTTTCGGCACTAAAGCCCCCCCCCCCTTTAGTACCGGTTCAGCACGAACCGGCGCTAAAGTGCCACCACGTGGCGTGATCTCGCGCCCTGGTATGGGGGACCTTTAGTACCGGTTGGTGTTACCAACCGGTACTAAAGAGTTTTTTTTTGAAATTTTTTTTTGAAAATTTTGGAAAAAAAATTGATTTTTTTATTTTTCTGAATTATTTGATGATTTAGTCTCTAATCACCTCTCTTAACTGCTCAAGTGTGGATCACTTATTCCAAATCATCTAACTTCCCGACCGGTCACCCATCCCTCTCACTACTCCAGCCCGAGCACACTTAACTTTCAGGTTCTATTCTCCTTCGTTTCCGAGTCTGCACTTGTTGTTTTCCTGACAATAGTAAGATGTCAATCCTATTAACCCTCAGGAGTTTAGCTTGAGCATGAAGTCACACATTTCACCGTTTGAGTTTGAAACTATTATTCTAAAAAACAGTAATTATTTAGTAACGCTAATATATCTTGAATAAGTTTGACCATAGTTTGACCACAGTTTGACCATAGTTTGACCAGATTTGACCAAAATTGAAAAAATTGAAATAATTATTTAGTAACACTAATATTCTTGAATAATTATGTAGTAACACTAATATTTCTTGAATAAGTAGTTTGACCATAGTTTGACCACAGTTTGACTACAGTTTGACCAGATTTGAACAAAATTCAAAAAAACTGAGATACTTATTTAGTAACACTAATATTATTGCGTAATTATTTAGTAACACTCTATATTTCTTGAATCAGTTGTTTGACCGGTTTGACAAGATTTAACCAAAATTCAAAAAAACATAAATTAGAGCATATCTTTTTTTCCTTTTACAATTTGTCATTTCAAAAATTGTCCTAAACCCGGGACTTAAAACGTCGGAAACTCTATGCTAAACAGTAAAAACTAAGGGTTTAGACCATAAAACCTAACCCTAAACGCTGAAATCTAAACCCTAGCACTAAACGCTAAAAACGTCCAAAAAAACGTCTAAAACGCCCAAAAACTCTATTTTCCCTTTGGAATTTTGTGATTTTAAAAAATTGTCGAAACGGAAAACTGGTTGTTTTAGCGGATCAATCTCTTTATTCTGCAAATTTTGATATATTATATGTTTTTTTTCTGAATTAGGATGATTTAGTTATGATTTTTTCAAGTTTGAAAATTGCCCTATAGTCCTGGTTTGTGTCTCCAACCGGTACTATAGGTTAGACCCCTTTAGTACCGGTTCGTGCCACGAACCGGTACTAAAGGTTCAATACGAACCGGCATTAATGCAAATCCGTTCGAACCGGCACTAATGGTACCATTAGTACCGGGCCAAAATCAAACCGGCACTAATGTGCTTCACGTTTGACCCTTTTTCTACTAGTGATGGTTGGTGGCGGCTAGGGTTTAACCCCATACAATAATTGATGTCTTATGGCACTCACTGCAGAATGATGAAATTGCTAACCATGTTGGTATGTTGGGAGATCTGGAATGAGAGGAATGCTAGAGTCTTTCGTGATGAGGTTTCCTTACCTTCGAGGATCATAGTCTTTAGGAGTATTTCTCTTAGTCTTTTCGGCCTTCATGGCTCGACCTTTGTGTGTCACTTAAAAACTATGTCTCCTATTCTAAATGAATGAGATGGGGCAAGTTTTTTTTAAAGGAAGTGGATGCCTTATAGCCATTAGAAGACAAAAGTGGAGATTGAGATGAACAGTAAAAGTCGCGGGGCCACCAATCAATGGCGACAAGCGTTATTAATCAGCACAAACCTGTATCAAGCATGGTTGGCCATTCGATCTGAGATTAGCGTTGACACGGGCGTCGGCGGCTGTGAAACGGTGACCGAAAGGGATGAACCGTGAAACGGTCTCTTTTCTTCGTATTCTTCGGAGCTTCAAATTTCTGGGCTTGACACAACACCCCCTCTTGTGCGTCGGCGGAGCGGGAGGACGCGACGATGGAGCTCGGGGAAGGTGGAATATGGAGCGCTAGAAAAGGAAGGTAGATTTCGGTTCGGCCTTTCATTGCATTGTACCACAGTGGTGCACATGCATTTTCTTTGCTCCCTCCGATAACTGATGCTTCTACTCTCTTTTTTTTTTGTGGGTGGATGCTTCTACTCTTTGTTGTGCAGTGTCGCCTTGTGCCGACAGAAAGGCACATCATACATGATAATTAACACGTTCCGTGGTAACTTTGCAATGGATGGTACGTATATATTAACTCCAAATCAGAGCTGGCGGGTGACGATTGGTCCTACTAATCGGCCGCACCGGCACGTGGAGACGACAACGAGTGCAGCAATGAACGCAAATAAAGCTGCAAGTGGGAGGTTCTAAATCACAACGGGTGGCCGCAGACTGCAGTACAATCTGTACTGCCGTGCCGGAGGAGGAACGCTGGCCCTGGCTGCAGTACAAGTGTACAACCAGCTGTACTCGCTCTCTCCGGCTATCTCGGACATGGACGCACCGAGAATGGTACTAGTACGTACTTAGAGTACTTCACTTGTGCCTGAAAATGCAGTGCAGTACAACACCAATCTCCGTCCGTCACATCCCTCCCTCCCTCCCTTGGTGCCACCAAAAGCTACAAGTAGAATCGATCGCTACGACTTGGTTATAATAAGCCTGAAGAAGAGGATATACCGCCATATATTTCCGTCAGCAGAGCAGGAGTGTCTTTACGGTAAACAAGGGCAGGATACGCGAGGAAATTCCTGCGGGGTCGAGCTGGGAACACATGAGATATGAACCGCTTGATTGAATATCAACTCATGTGTTCTCAGGTCGCCCCCGCTGGAGCCTCCTCGCCGCAGATCGACTGCTTCATTGATGCGTACTCGGTCGTCGGCCAGGCGTGTTCAGAGGCCCCTCGGTTTCATCAGAGATCAAACTGGTAAATGTGCAACTGCTTCTCTTCTCTTGATACCAATGTGGGTCCTAAATGTAGAAAACCACCAACTCCAACCTTCCAGTTGCGCAATTCCACATTCCTTCATCATCTGATTCTCTTTCCTTTCAGATCACCTCCCCAGTTTTCATGGGTCCCTACCATTCACCGTGCGGTAGCATGCAACTAGATCCCATTACAAACGCTGCTGAGAGCATCATAGATCTGCTTGGTTGTATTCTCATCGTCGCAGTAGATCATGGTCTTTTCAGATGTTATCTTCACCAGAGCTTCTGCCGGACTGGTGATCAAAATCGAGCGCACGCAGCCCGCCGAGCTATCATCGTCGTCTGCAGGGAAAGCACAGGCGATCCCCTTCTCCTGCAACGCCGACAACAGACGGGCTGCATCCACAGCTCCCCAGTGTAGCAGCTGCCGCATCGACTGATCGGACTGATCCTTTGGAGCTGCTACCAGCACGTACTGCCCGTTGCTGAGATGGAGCTTTGCTCTCAGCCTCGCGACGGCGATGGCCTTGTCCAACTGCCTAGGCTGCAACCCAAAGGCAAAATCGGTTGGAAGCCCCACCTCGAAGTCTTCCCGTATGTTTGGGATCTCCATGGTTTTGCCCTTGGAGTAGTACAGATATGACCATGGGGCATCCTCCTTTGATGGACACCGCGACTTCAGTTCTTCAGGGAACTGCAAGGGTACAGTAGAGCGTGAGGAGATGATCACTCTCGCTCGAAGAAAAGTAGCTCCAGCAGAAGGGTGCAGAAAATAAGCAATGGCGTACCAGAACGAGCTTCGGTTTGAGAACTGACAGCAATGGATTGACTTTCCGCACCCTGTCAACAAGAAACTCGAGCCTTTAGTCTACATATTCTGATTTGCTACTATGAATTAGTGAAACATAAGCATGAGCTTTTGAATTTTCAACATACTTTATTCCAGAAAGGAAAGAACATTCAAGAACTTGGATTGCCACAGGCATGAAAGGCTTAAGAGTCAACTCAGAATCAACTCCTTCCTGCACGTAAAATAATTATGTGTTTAGCACCACCAACAGCAGTTAAGATTATGCTAGGTTCCGTGAAAAGATTGGACACAGTGTACCTCCAAAATAAGAAGATTTCGTTTATCTGCATGCCACCGACGAAGCAAATGGACTGCTGTGCTGTGCCTAAGGCTCCAGTCTGGACAAAATACAATGCAGGGCTCCTTCCACGCTGCCCTGACAGGATTCTAGCGTTGTTACACAGCAGAAAATGCAGGAAACAACATCAAAAAATTAACTGAAATCCAACTGTTCAAGTGAGCTCATATGAATCAAAAGCAGGATATGTCATAGTATAAATTATGCTAAAGGTAGCAACCAGATATTGATGGACCTCCATAAATTATCAAACAACCAAAACCAAAATAAGAAACAACCAGTACCAAGCTTTCTATAAGGAGAGTATAAAAGAGATGATAAAGTCAAAGTTGGTGATCCTAAACTAAACAACCTTAAGGTTACCTATCATTGTATAGTCATAAAAAGTAATAACTAGCAACAAAATTTTGATAAACTTCTTACAGCAGGCCCTTTGAATATAGATGAGGAAACAGAAATAGTCTGCCTTCCTTCAGAAGCTCCACATGGCCGAATAATGCCTCCTCCTCCCTCGAGAATAGCTGCAGGATAAATAGTGTTTCAGTAAGACCATGTTAATTAAGTTCATATGTCAAAACAACCATAGTGAGGAAGGAATGACCTTTTCTTGGCGTGGCTTACATAGCCATTCTGGCACAGCATTGGTAAAGGATATTATTTTTTCTGCTGCGCCAGAAATCATAAATATGGGTACCTGACTCAAACAGGGAAAAAATGTCAGCCCAAAACAACAGATGCAAAACATGTGAGAAGACGGGTGGTGCAGAGAAAATATAGTGATTTGGAATGGGCATAATATTTCATATAGTAGAACTAAAGGAGCTTGATATTTAAATGATTACAGTGTAGAACTAAAACACTCTTTGTACCACATGCATCTTTAAACACTCTTTTAAAGCTAGTCATCTATTCATCTTACAGCCAGTTGACTGCACGTCAGGCCTTGTCAACTGGACATTTCACCATTAGCAAAACCAAGCACATCCTAAGTAAAAATATATGCCGTTGGTATTAACAACATTACTACGAAGCCTGACTCACACAAAGCACAATAAAAATATATATTTACATTACTATTAACAAGAGTCCACTATACAGTAACAAGGGGTCAAGAACTGCTAGAATTACCTTCATGTTGGAAGAAAGTAACGTTTCTGATATATGTTCCAAAATTAAAAGAATAACCCCAAGTCGTCCTATTGGTATTAAAACAGAACCTCCAGATTTAATTGCATCTGATATACATGAGCATATGAAACTGATTCTCTCAATCTCCTCTGCAATATCATCATTCTTAGACAGGCACTGGACGTCTTCATCCTCATCAACACCACCATCCCTTGAAGATTGTAAGTAACATTCAATGCAAAAGGTTATTTTTAACGCATAAGCAATTCATACAAACTGAAGAGCGACACACTAGCATACCTCAACACAGAGTCATCACAAAGCATTGCATTCTCACCCAGATTCTCATTATTCTCATCCATGTCATTCAAGGATGAGAAATCTGAAAACAAAATGACATCATTTTCCTTCAGAGAGTTATAGTCGCAATCTAAGGCATGGGCTGACACAAACATGGTGCTTGGCAAGTAGGTAATACTTGCTCTCGGACCCTTTATTGACCAGACACAATTGCCAAGCTCCAGGCCAGAGCTAGAGGCTTTCAGCATCAACATGCCATTGAAGCAGACCTCCTCTCCGTATTTCACAGTCTGGGTTTTTCGCATGCATTCTTCTATGTTTGGGGCACTGCAATAGGTGTAATCCAGTTAAGATAAGAAAGCAGGATGATAGAGCAGCGTTGATGTCATTATTAAGTAGTGAATCTTCTATGCAGTCAATATAATTGAATGGCAACCATATGGTCCAATCTCACATATTTCCTTGCAAGAACTAAAATCTAGTCAGCTTTATTTGCATGCAACCGAGATACTAAGCATATGGAAGCATACACCAAGCTAGGTTACTAGGGATATAAACTTGTGTCCTATCAGATGTGTACATGAAATTACAGAGTCAAGTATGTATTTCAAGTAACTCCAGGTTAAAAAAGAACTATCATATGTTACAAACTTACCCTATATTCATGAATGAAATTTTGGTATCTATTAAACTTCTTAATTTGCTACTTGACTAGTAAAATATGGATACTATTTGCTCCTAGCACACTCCCTAAGATTATCAAATTTTAATTAACCAGTGGAAACAATTTCTAAAGGTCAAGGATAAATATGGAAAACTGGGTATATTTTGAAGCTTTCAGATATAAATTTCTTTATAGTAAAAGGGTAACTCGATATGCAATACGGCAAGTATATGGCCTATTAAATACTGTGTACCTGTAAAGGGGCATCAAAGGAGCTAAATCCATTCCCTCATCTTCAATCACTATATTCTGCAACGACGACAGGAGTTTATGGAGTTTCTCCCCTTGCATCCACTTGGGTGGCACATCCGTATCTGGCCCGTAGTACCTTACAAACTCAGAGTGCATCTCCACGAGCTCCCCCATCATTAGCTTTCCAATCCTTGCAGCTAACTCTGTAACATAAACCTATTCATAGTTTCATACAGACAGTCAACAACTGCGCTCTATATTTCATTGTATGCATTAGCACCTACCTATGGAGATGAAGTTTTGTCTCACAGAAGATTTTACAGCCAACATAATATATTTCGATCCCTTGGTAATTGTATATGACCAAAATTTCTTACTCTAGCTTTAAGAAAAAACATGCCCAGACGTTTAGCCCCTAAGTTCCACTTTGTAGTAAAGGGGCCTAAGGATATTATTTGTCTGCAATCAAGAGTAAAAAAAGCCAATGAGCATGCCTTTGGTATTCATACAGGAGTGGACTTGTTTTCATTATTTTCTTAAAATAAATCATCAAGTCCAATTGTTCTCCCCCGGTTTTCCCCATTTTACACACCTCAGTGCTACCCTGAGGAGGTTAATTATCCGCAAAGTAAAGAAAAAAAATAATGAGCTAGCCCATCTGTCTTTCAGACTATTGTTTGCATTCAGCAGGCTTCTTCTTCCAGATGATCTGAATAGCTATCAACTATTGAATAGACAAAAATCATGCACTAACATGTTAACAGCAGTTTCAAACATGTAACACACCTCTTCACTACGGCGACAAACAACAATCGTTCAAATTTCTAACCAAAGCTGCAGCCTAAACTATAGCAGTTTGCAATCTAGGGTGCTATGCATCAAGAAGTAGCAGGGATGGCAGTCACCTTGGTATTTGCGAAGCTTGGGAGCCGGGTGAGGAAGGGGAGCCCAAGCATCCCCGTGGCAGACGACACAAGCACAGCATCCACGCCACCTGCTTTGGCGGCCGCCGGCGCCGCCAGCGACCAGTAGTACGGCACCGCGCGGATGAGCTTCCCCGCGTCACCGGAGTCCGCGCCGAGTGGCACCGGGGCGAATGCTGCGAGGGCCGAGAGGTCGACGGGGCAGTCTAGGAGGAGGCGGACCCCCTCCAGCTCCAGTAAGTGGCTCGCAGGCGAGTGGTAGCCGCCGCCTCTGCCGGGGGTGGTCACGCAGGTCAGTTTCATGGCGGCAGTGGCGGATGTAGCACAGGGGCGGTCGCCCCGGGTCTCCGACGGCGGAGCAAGCACACCTGGCGGATCTAGGATTTGAAAACAGGGTGGTCCTCCTACAAAAATTGACAGTAAATATGGCATTTGAATATATTTTGACACTGCAATTTCATATTTCCATTACATTCTTGATACTAGTACATTGATCCCAATATTAAGTAGGGACAGAGCAGATCAAATAACACCGAAGAGACGATGAACATCTGCACGAACCCTAAACAAGGAATAGCTAGCATGTGAATATGTTCTAACTAACTCCCAATAGCACATAGAAATAGATCAATATGATATGTTCTTACAAACGTACTAAAATTCTCACTAAGTCCCAGTTTTGCATAAAAGAAGCCTACATAGCACATAGCTTGAGAAATTCAAAGAAGGCTTATGTTTCTGGCCTACGCTTTTCAGTGGCCATGAAATTCTCAATTATATTTATATCATCTCCATTCACCTTTTAGAAAATATCCCGCTCAATGTATGTGACTAGGCAACTGGCAGACGCACAAGTTCTTCGGTTTGCTCTCCGGCCACATTCGTTATAGCCAAAAAGAGAAGCAATGTCTCCAGTCCTCTTCATCCTTCAATAACTATGCAATAATACTTTGCTTTCTATCAATCATAATGACATTGGACTGGGCATAATTATGTGTATATGTGTCCATCAATTCATCTGTATATGTACTGAAGAAATTTGCTAACCCTAAATCGAAAATTGGGGAATGGGGCCATGGGCAGTGGATGGGGTGTACCTCAGATCGGAAATAAGAAGAGTGCTGGCTCGGAAGCCAGCGCCGACTTGCGGGGCGCCAGGCAGTGGGCACCTGCCGGCTGCCGCACAAGGCAGGGGCGCAGAGCGGTGGGCGAGGAGCCGCGGGCGCGCGCTGGCGCCGGGCGCCGGGCGGGCAGGGCGGAGAGGAAGGCGGATCCTCCGCTCCTGCCTCCAGGGATGGCGAGGTAGGCAGCGACGCGTCCGGCGTGCGGCGAGCGGACGTTTCTGGGGAGCGACTCAGTCCCTGGATGCTGGCTGGAGAGACTGGCGAACGACCCAACTCGATTCGTTTTTCGGCTACTAGAAAGAGATGGGCCGGGACGGGATTATGGGGATTTCTAGGCCAGTTATTGGGCTTTAACTTTTTTCTGAGCCTATAGACTGGTCCAAAATCCCAAGGTGGGCCGGGACCATCCTGTCCACACTGTGGCTCGGCCAGGCTCGAGCAGGCCGAAATAACTAATTGAGGAGTACGCAAACATCACTCCAATTCCCCTTGGTTGCTATAAGTGGCGTACATGCAGCGCGTCACTTGTCGTAATCTGAGAGTTTTTTTTATATCCGTTTATTCAAAACGTTTTATCTCTCAAATCGTGTGTCCAAATCTTAAACCGCTTTCACCGTTGGATTCCTCGCGTCAAGATCTTCAAAACTATATCCCATATTGATAGGTTTTGATGAATCTTTTTTTTACGAAAAAAACTGGACGAAAAAACCGAACCGGGAGCACAGGTTTTTTCCCTTTTCGAAAGAGGCATGCCCGTGCCCTTCACGAAACCACAACCATGCCTCTCGCGGAAGCAAAGCCGCGACTCTCGCGGAAGAAAAAAAAGAGAAAATTTCCGTTTCCGAGGAGGCACGGTCGTGACTCTCGTGAAAGCACAACCGTGCCTCTTGCGGAAGCAAAACCGTGACACTCGCGAAAGGAAAAAAACAGAAAACCCGTTTTTTCCTTTTCGAGAGGCACGGCCATGACTCTCGCGAAAGCACAACCGTGCATCAAAACCGTGACTCTCGCAGAAAAAAAACAGAAAATGCGTTTTTTTCGTTTCCGAGAGGCACAGCCGTGACTCTCACGAAAGCACACCCATGCCTCTTGCGGAAGCAAAATCATGACTCTCGCGAAAGCAAAAAAACATAAAAACGCATTTTTTCGCTTTCGAGAGGCACGACCGTGACTCTCGCGAAATCAAAACCGTGCCTCTCGCGGAAGCAAAACCGTGACTCTCGCGAAAGGAAAAAAACATGTTTTTTCACGTAAAAATTTTTGTCCCTATTTTTTTTGATTGAAAAGCTAAGGAAGACCGGTGAAAAACCAAATCGTCGAAAAAACCCGGAAAAACCCGTTTAAAAGGCCGAAAACGCATGCGAAAAAATAAAAAAAAACAAAATCCGGAGGAAGTGCCCAAAGCGCGACACGTGGCGAATGGCTGAGAGCACGCCAAATGATGCTGATCGTTGCGAGGCTTCTGAAGGAGCGCTCGTTAACTAGTTGCTCTCCAAGCAAGTAGCAACCCTTCTCTTTTGTCTAAAAAAAGCAACGCTTCTCTTCCCCTAAAAAAAATAGAGAGAGCAACGCTTCTCTTTGTCTAAAAAAAGGGGGGGTTCTCTTGTATACTGAAAAGTGCGAACTGATAGCACAAACATGAAGGAAAGGCTAAATTCGAAACATCTTGAATAGGATTTTCTCTTCTCGGAGAGCTTGAGACTGAAATGAGTGGGCCGGCCAAAGAAGACCACTACCCACCCCCCCTGGCCCCCGCGTCGTCCGCCTGGACGACACGGGTGGCGACTAGGGTTCCCCCCGCGCCGCCACCCCCTTCCCCCGCTCTCCCCTCGCCGCCACCGGAGGATCTCGCCGGGCTTTATCCCGCGGACGCCCGGGAAGGTGGCGGCGAGGCCTCTGACGCTCCGTTCCTGGCGGAGGTTTCCGGATCTGCGGTGGCGGCCCTTCTTGGTGAGGCAACGGCATCCTCCTCGGCTGGAGCCGGTTGCGGGTGATTCTGGCCGGTTTGCTCGACCACGCGGGTGGTGAGCCGCCGGCGGGGTTGTCTACGGCGCGGAGTTCCCCCTCTTTGACTCCCTCTGCACCGCCGTTTCCAATTTCTTATGTCACGCGCGCCGGATCTGGAGCTGGTGTGTGCTTGGTGGTGAGGTCTAGGACTGCGGGAAACCGTTGGTTGGCCTGTCCAGCCCGGTGGCAGTGACGCCATTGGCACCGTTCTTCCTCATTGGAGGTGCAGCCGAGGTCCTCCCCTCCCCACCCTCGTTCCCCCCTCCCGGGTGAAAGCCCAAAACCCGGCTACGATTGGGCGGCAACGCCGCGTCTCGTGTCGTGCTCCTCCTTGGAGGTGCCGCCTGGGGAGGGATCATGTTTGGGTGAGGTGGGTCAAAGGTCGGAGCTTTGGGCGGCTCTGGTTGTCTGGTGGCGGCGGTTCCGTTGGGATTTGCTTGGCTGGCATTGTCTCAGTTCCCCTCATGGGTGGAGCCCACTCGTTGCGGCGTGTTTGTCACAAGGCTGGCGGTGCAACACCTTCGATCCGGCGATAGGGGATAGGGTTCCCCTTCCCAGCAATAGCAACACGTCCCAGCTGTGGGCTCCCGGTTCTCTTCTTCAACGGCCGACGGGCCTTGCTCCTTGACGTTCTGCGGTCTTCCTTGATGTCCTTCCTGGCCTTTCCTCAACAGCTGCTCCCGGTGGCTTTCCTGTAGCTTACTGGTGTCCTAAGTTGCGGCAGTATGGTGGATGTTGTGTGCTCATTGGCCATGGGGTTGTGCTCTGCGGTTGCTCCAGGTCTCGAGGTCGGCACCTCTTTTGCTCTAGGGTGAGCGCTTCTCAGGTCCGCTGGTTCGACGCCTTTCGATCCAAGGCAAGAGGGAAGGGTCCCTCTGCGGCACGAGAGGAGGAAGATTCTTAGATCTCTTCATCCTGGATGTCAGCCCAGTTCATGCCCACACTCTGTTTTAGCAGGTCCTCATCCTGTTTGCTGGTCGCTACCCTTGGTACCAGTTTGTTGCGGTCTTCAACTAGTGCAAGCAATGGGCTTTGTTTTATCTTTCTTTCGTGATTGTGCGCTGCGTTGAGTTGTAAGCTCCCTAGAATGCTCCCTTGTATCGTTGGGCCGATGTGGTCTGTTGTGTGTCTGTAATTCCTGGCCGGTTGATGGCTTTGTTAATTCAAAGCCGGACTCTTTGTGAGCCTTCGCTTCTAAAAAAAGACCACTATGGAAGTGAAAGGGGAGGGACTACAAGCCGGCGCCGGAAGCAACTCGCTTCTATTCTCGATTAGATATAGATGGGGAATCTGTATAGATTGTCTTTTTTCGACAACCTCTCTAAAACGCATATGAGAAAATTGCACTTCACGGCACGGCAAAAAAAGAGCTTCACTCAGTTGGCCCTCCTAAGCTTCCGCCTACTTTCTCTTCTCTTAAGTCTAAAACAAGTGGGAGGCAGGATTCGAATCTACGTCGAAAACCTTCAACAGATTTACAGTATGTTGCTTTTGACCGCTCGTCCACTCGCCGTCATTGCATTCTTTGGTTTTGCGTAATTACTTATAATCATGTGCGCGTGTACTCGATCATTGAGTCAAGCGGTCGGCCAAAGACCGCTCGATCAACACACATTGTGCGGCCACGATTGCCAGGTGTCCCCTAGTCAGATGATGGCCCCGTGCAAGCCCCGCACACCTGGTCCGATGGCATCACGTAGTGCACCGCGCACCCTTTGTGGTGGACCCCACCTCTCATTGACCCCTATGGCATGGAGAGGTATGCGGTCGATGGTGAGCGACGACATAGTAGTGTGGGTTGGCAGTTTTGAATTTCATGCCACTCTCACCTACATGCTTCCATCTCTCTCTCTCTCTCTCTGCTTCCCCCTCCCTCATTTCTCCCCATTCTTCTCTCCCCATGCGATTCAGAGAGGATTTGATTCGTAACCGGCATCATCACCGCAACAGCAGCTGAAGGCGAGTGCAGGAAGGCAAAGGCGTAGCGGGGCGACATCCACTGCTTGTCGCCGGCTCAGGTATGGTCGCCGCCCGCCCTCGCATCTTGTTCCCCTTGTCATTTACCCCCGAGACTGTCTATTTTGCTAGGGGTCCTTTACTAGTGTTCGTCGACGGAGAAGCAGTGGTTACCGCGGTGACATCGAGAGGTGGCGGTGCTTACCGCGGCGCCAC